TATATATATATATATATATATATATATATATATATATATATATATATATATATTATGTATATGCAAAGCCTAACATCTTTTAAGAATATATATGTGATATTAAAATTTATAATGGTGAATATGTTTTTCCCAAACTGTGGAGGGATAGATATGTAAAACCGTAAGACTCAAATGGCCGAGAGGCAAACCGACAACTTCCACATATATAACGAGAAGAAGCGTCCGTTATAAGAGGTTTGTACGCTGATGCTGATCCCTCTCTTTACAGCCGTGTCTCCTCCTTTTCTTCGTCTCCTCCTCCTCGCAAGCTTGCTCGCTTCCTCGATCCCCGCTGCGAGATCTTTGTAGCCTACGCTCGAGCCGTCGTCTGGAGGTGCGCTTTACGCCGTCGCCGCCTCAATTCTCGGGTTCCTCTCTCGCTGCATTTGCTTTTTAGGTTTCCTTCTCGTTTCCCCTCCGTTCTAGGTTTTGCGGCAGTTGATGGAACCTCGGTTTCGTCGCCCCGTCGTCGGTCGCTCGAGTTTCACGGCACCGGGGGAATCTCGCCGCGTGGCGCTCTCCTCCGTTGGTTGGTTCGATCGCTCGAGTTTAGGGCCTCGATTGATTGGGCTTTAGTTGGATACAGCGATTTGGTACGGAAATTTGTCTGTTCTGTTGTCGATTAAGTTTCGTCTACTCTTCAACTGGGGTAAATTTGCTCATCTGTTACCGCTGGTAGAGGATAGTTTGTTTGATTACTATCTGGCATGCTGACTTCTTCGTGTTGGGACCAAAAGACTTGGTGTTTCTACTTCCACTTCTCACTATGGCTGAGGATCTGAGACTAGGCTTATCAATTTCGCTGTTCCGATACATTTTTTAGCAGCTACTTTGTGCAACTATGCAGCATTTCTAGCAAATAGAGTTGGCTTTTCAACTTTTCACCACTGGAAGCGGGGAGGAAAGGAGGTACTTGCGAGGGCACTGGATAGTTACATCACGGTAGCCTCACATGGGCGATCATGGAGGCTGCGCGCAACTTAGTGGCTCATTGCCCAATGGCCTTCTGTCTGAGGAAACAGCCAAGTTGACCCGAGTGCTTGATGCAGACAGATGGCTTAAGGCAGAGGGACAAACGGCAGAGCTGATTGCACGTATTCAGCCCAATCAATCATCTGAGGAGCGCAGAAATGCTGTAGCCAACTATGTCCAGCGGCTCATCCTGAAGTGCTTCTCCTGCCGGGTGAGTATTTTCTCATGTGCTACAGCCAGATAATAGTTGTTTAAGTAATAAACTTGCACTTCTTTAATATATTATCAGTTATTGTAAAACAGAAAATTAAGCACACATCTTGACTGTTAATTTCACCATTACACTTACTGACAAAAATACTGATTGGTAATACTTGAGGACGATGCTTTTTGGCTCTTTTAGTGTTTCTGCAAAGTAAGCAGCCATCTAAAAGTTGGATCTTCTTAAGACTGATAATGTAAATATGCTTTACATACTGCTGTAGATATGCCTCCTTGTAGATGGGTTTTTGTTTTTCGTTAATCTTGCTAACGTGTGTGCTATCTCAAATTTTAACTTTCATGCTGGTTTTTAGGTTTCCACATTTGGATCAGTACCTCTCAAGACCTATTTACCTGATGGAGACATTGACCTGACTGCATTCAGTGATAACGAAAAATTGAAGGATGCATGGGCTACTGCGGTTTGTGGTGTATTGGAGAATGAAGAAAAGAGTGAGAATGCTGAATTTTGTGTAAAAGAAGTTAAATACATCCAAGCAGAGGTGTGACAGGATTTAACCTGTTTTTATTCTTTCAGTCCTATTCAATTGATGCTAACATGCTGCTGCTGCTGGACACAGCTACACTACTGTCAATCCTATATGTTTCTAATTGTGTTATTTGGCTTATAATTTTTCTCATAGGCTTAACTGTTATTGATATAATATTGGTATTAAGTTGAACCCCTCAACCTTTGGTAGGTGAGTTTGGTACATGAGAATCTCAGATCAATTTTTTAAGTATGAAATTTTTTGAAATAGGTTTTAAGTTCTCGATAGATGAAACTTCTAACCCACAACATGTGGTAAGTGGACCTTGTAAAATATCACCATATCAATATTCTAGGTGTTAAATTTATTGGATGAATTTTCGAACTCTGTGGCAAGTATGTTTGATATACCACCACACTAACATAATAGGTGTAAAATTTATCGGAAGAAGTTTAAAACCGTGTCATACCAATATTTTAGGTGTAAAAATTTGTTGGATGAGGTCTTGAACCTGAACCTTTGGTGAGTGGATCTTGGAAATCACCACCAACTAATATTTTAGGTGTATGTCTAACTTATTCTTATGTAGATCAGCCTAATGTTTGCACGATGCAATCTGATGCAAAGGGTTTAAGCTTGTTTTAAGTTAGAGTTGAGTCAATTCTATACTGAACCTGTAATATGTTTGGATCGGAGGTCATGATTTCTTTTTTTCTCATTTTATAAGGTCTTTGTTCAAATCTTTAGTTATATGTTGGGGAGAGTCATTTGATTGATTTGTAATCTACCTCAATTTGGACAGGGTGTAAAATTTCATTAATTTTTAGGTCTTTTTAGGATAAAATTCTCCTAGATGCATCTCAAGTGAAATAATACAATTGACCCTAATAGTAAATTTAACTTTGGTATCAGAGCTGGTTTTGTAATCGTTGGGTTATAGAATTTTCTTTTGTATCAATTTCTTCTGCCTTTAAATTATCTCCTTGATGTGTGCTATATGCTGAAAGTGTATATAATGCGAGAGATTGCAGTTAGGGGAGTAATCTACAACCAAATTTATGTTGATCATGTAGCAGAGACAAACTTGAAGATCAGGCCAAAAGGCTAGTGTGACACATAATTTTGTGGACAAGATTCACATGATTGGATGAACTGTTGCAATTTATTTTGAGGTGTTTGATTGAATCTAGTATAGGTTAATGTGTAATCTGTTTTGGGTAATGTCAATTAGGTCAATCTGTTTTTTTCCTTCAAGGATGCTCATTCAGATTTTTAGTTATATATCAAAGACAGTGATTTGATTAGATCAGAGTCCATATTAGTTGAAAGGGATGTCAAGCTATGATAATTCTTAGGGTCTTATGGGGAAAACGTTTTCGTCTCGAAGGCATGTAGCTTCGTTACATCATAGACTTGGGGAAGAAGTAACGACTTCCAAAACAAACATTTGGCTAAAAAATCTGTTGAGACTGGTACAACAAAAGGAAACAATAAACTTGTGTTTGCTTCACTTGGAGAGTCTTTTTATGTCTGAAATATTGTCAATCTTCATGTATCCAAACATATTCACTGTATGGATTATTTTTACTCGACATATTCACATTTTCCTTTTATCAAGTGTCATTATAATTAGAATCTGAATCTCCTCCCCAGAACTTACTGGCAAAACATGGGACTTAAATATGTTTGAAATTTGAAGCAAAACTTGTTTTTGGTCATTTTGTTTGTCAATCATTTGCCTTGCTCTTGCCACTCATTCGGATTCAGATTTTGATGTTAGATTTGGTTACATTTCAATGTTCATTTTGGTATAATTTCCATCCCACTACAGGTCAAACTTGTAAAGTGTCTTGTTGAAAATATTGTCATGGACATCTCTTTCAATCAAGTCGGTGGCCTATGCACACTTTGTTTCCTTGAAGAGGTTAGTATGTGCGCCTATGTGGTGCTTTTGAACTTCTTTGTCACATCTCTTGGAAGCAGTTTAGCTCATGCATGATTATGATTCACTGACCTTCTGCTTTTTCGTAGATGGACAATGTTATAAATCAAAATCATCTATTCAAGCGGAGTATTATATTAATTAAAGCTTGGTGTTACTATGAAAGTCGAATTCTTGGTGCTCATCATGGACTTATATCTACATATGCCCTGGAGACTTTGGTTCTTTACATATTTCATGTCTTCAATAGTTCATTTGCTGGCCCACTTGAGGTGACCTAAATTTAGTTGCATTAAACATTTCTATTTTGCTCACCACTTAATTTATACATAGTTTTAGTCCCAAATTTTGCCTCCACAGGTCTTATATCGTTTTCTAGAATTCTTTGGCAACTTTGATTGGGGTAACTATTGTGTTAGTCTTTGGGGACCAGTTCCTATCAGTTCACTTCCAGATATGACCGGTAAGTTTATGTTTTTTTTTTTTGCAGCATATTGGAGCTAAAATGTCTTATGTTTCTATGATTGTGCCTGATGAATTTTATGCAGCGGAACCTCCTCGAAAGGATAACAGCAAGTTGTTGTTTAGTAAAAGATTTCTTGACAATTGCAATTCAGTATTTTCTGTCACGCCAGGTGGTAAAGAAACCCACAGTCAACCCTTTGTTCCAAAGCATTTCAATGTTGTTGATCCTCTACGCACAAACAACAATCTTGGACGCAGTGTGAGCAAAGGTTTGACTCTTGAACATTAAATTCCAGTTGGCAGGAGCCATGCTATCTGCTAACATATTCTCACTGATGTTATGGTCATGTTTAATCTGCCTAATTAATTAACTTAATTTGATTATTTTTTAATATTATTACATGTAATTGTTTCAAGATTTGGAGATCATTGCCCTAATGTTGGCTCAAATAGTTAACCTCAACGCAGGAAGGTTTTTCTGTTTTTTGCTTGACAAAATTTGAAACTAGTTGTAAAGGACAACAGAATATTTTGGTTTCTAGTTGTATTTTATTTTTGATGTGTCGAATTTGGAATATTTGGATTTGTTTCTTTGGATGTTTTTATGCTTGAGTTTTGGATTATTTTTCTATGAGATTTCTAGAAGTTATGCTTTCTACCTGATCAATGGTAATCGTTTTGGAATTTGGTTTTACAAGAATCTGGTATGCATGCAACATGTTTGTTGTTGCTTGAGTGGAAAGCTTTTAGTGGTAATAGCATCTGAGCGTTCCCACATAAAGTGGGACTGTGCATTAGTTTGTATCAATTCATTGGACACTTGATGTTGTACCAATACCTTTTTTTTTTCTGGACTCAGCATCACAAAAGAACCTACAGATGTATATATATACATATATATTTTTCTTAAAGCTTGATTTAGCTGTCTATTAGACAACATATTGCTCAGTGTTGTCTGCTATATTTTATGTGGAACATTTGTGTTTCATTTTAGAAATTTGAAAACATCAATAGCCCATCTTCCATCAGTCCATCCTGTGCATGCATAAGATACAACTTTGTGCATGTAAGGTTGCACATCTTTGTGCATTGGATCAGTTACATCTGCATTTATTGTTAGCCATTCGTTTCTTTTTTTTTGTTTATGTGGCAGAGAGTGTGTTGGTGTTTTTTTATGCCTTCTAAATAAAATTATGCATAACTTCTTTTTGTCAGGCAATTTCTTCAGGATACGTAGTGCTTTTGCATTTGGGGCCAAAAGATTGGCCAGGTTAATCGAATGTCCAAAAGATGACATAATTGCCGAAGTGAATCAGTTCTTTATGAACACATGGAAAAGGCATATGAGTGGTGATCGCCCTGATGTTAGCTTAGATTTATGGCACTTACAACCACTGAAAACTGTTCCAGTGGAAGAATCAAACAACTTAAAAAGCACTACAAGTGTCAACAAGAAGATTGAAAATATTGTGTTGCAGATTGGGGAAGAGCATCTGGCTGAGACTGATGATGGTTTACATAATGCCACCTCTGAAGTCCTTGCCAACAATCCAAACATATTCAGGATAAACAATCCATCTGTAGTTTCTTGTGCTCAGAGCCAGATATATTACAGAAAGCAAATTAACTCAAGACTTACTGATCGGCATGAAACAAGCAATAGCCCTAGTGGATCTGTTCAAAGTGACAAAAGCCAAAAACTGTTAAATTCTAATTGTTCTGTCAATGACCAGGAAGAATTGAGTAGATTTCAGTTTGCACGGACGAGATATAGTCCTGAGCTGACAGAGGTCTCCATAGATTCATCTCAGGGAAGGCATCAAAGAGTTATAGAAACAGAAAAAATCCAATTTCCTGCCAATATTGACTCTGATAACAGACGAAAAAACTTGAGATCTGAATTTACAGACAATCAAAGTTCAAAGTCTTCTCTTGATGCTTATATATCAGTGAGGCAGACTTTATGTCGAAAGAACCTTGAAGTTGCTTCTGATGCAAACGTTGTTTTGAAAAGCTATCATGGTGATGTTGGCTTCACTGCAATGGAGGAGGAACTTGCTTCTGTTTCAGAGAAATTAGAGATGCAGCAACGAGAACAGGATTTGGTGAATATGATGGGGTCGTCTGACATTCATTGGTTTAACGGACAAGTTCAATTGCCAATGCATCTAGCTCCTCTTCCTCTGCCTTCAACATTTTCTCCTCTTTCAACTTCAACAGGTTATGCCAAAGGAAATTTGGCTGGAGATATACCCTCTAATCTATCATTGATTGGACCTCCTTGGGGACCAAATATGCAGTTTGGTCAAACTCTTTTTTCTTTCCCTGTTCCCACTTATTTTCGTGCTGCCACATATAGGTCAAATGTAGATAATTTGGAGAGTTTTAATGATGATTCTGCTGTGACAGAGCTGAACTCAGAGAATAATGGTCATGGCAACCCGAATGAAGATGATGTTGGTCTTTCAGAAGGATCTAATTTTGGTGACGGTGGTCCTCAGATTCATCTTGATGGTAAGCAACAGAAATTGGATGGTGGATTGAGTCCTAGTCCTGTGATAAGAGACAATAGTTCTGGTTATTTACCTCGGGAACAGAATAATAAGTTGGGTAGAGAAGGCAGAAGATTGACCAAAGAAAATTATAATGATCCTTTTCAAGCTAAACCAAGTAGAGGAAGTGATCTTCAATCAAACTTCAGGAGTTCAAACACAAGGTTCTCCACTTTATCATGGGCTAGTTCTTCCAGAAGCAAACCTGCATCAGAATATCTTAGGCATCAGTCAGCTGCAAAATTCCCGAGGTTAGCAAGGAACAAGTGCGGAAGCAAACCAGCTTTTGGAAAAGAAAACAACACGTTACAATTTGAGGGTTCATCTAATCATATTTCTTCAAAAATAGATGATGACACCTCTGGTTGCATACCTCTGTCAACCATGGAAAATGACATGTCTGAAAGAATCATAGAATCTGCAACTTTGGCTACCTCACATGTGAGAAGCAAGCATTTTTCTGAATATGAATCAGAACAAAAACAATCAGATCCACTGATCCCCATTGCACCAGTGCTAGTTGGCACTTCCTGGCAGAGGGGTGTGAATTGTTCCAAGGTTCTTCCCGGGACATTTGTTGCTACAGGTCCACCAGTTCCATTCTTGATGCTTCCATTTGGTGACTTCACATCTAACAGTGGAAATCCTGATGGATATGCAAAGCAAATTGATAGAGAGGAAGAACCAGCTAAGTTTCAAGAAAGTTCTTCTGGTCAAAATATTGTTTTGGTGGAGAGCCTTGACCAGTCTGAGGATCTCGCAAGTCCAAAAGTTTCAAGAATTCCTGCACCTGAATCATCTGAGGAGCTCAGTTCTGACATTTTCAACGTTGATTCAGTGAGCCATTGGCAAAATCTGGTATATGGAAGGTCCTGCCAAAACTCCTATCCTGGACCTGTCATGTACACTTCCCCTGTTGCAAGACCACCAATTTATCTTCCCAGCCATTATCCATGGGATGGTCCTGGCAAACTATTGTCATCTGATTTGCACTATACACAGATGACTGGGCACAATCCTCTGTTGGTGCCTATTATGCCTTTCCAACCTGGTTCTGATCGGGCCTCAGGTGTCTTCCAGGATTATGCAGATGAAGCACCAACATATCGTGGTGGTACTGGAACGTACCTGCCCAATTCTGTAAGATTCTCACAAATTTTTAAAATCATAAGAAAATTCTAATACTGATGGAATGGTGCCTTTTATCTAATTAGTCAAAAGATCAATGTTTAAAAAATTAGATCGGTCTGTCCAAATTGGATGGTCCATAGCTAAGCCAAAATAGTTGTGAAATGGGGATTACTCTAGGAGTCCCAACTTGAATTGAGCTACAACAACAACAACGATAGGGATTACTCTATCGAGGAGTCCCAACTTGAATTGAGCTACAACAACAACAACGATAGGGATTACTCTATCTACCGACTTGAATTGATCTCTTTGAGTAAGAGAGGAACATGAGTAGAAAGGAAGAGGAAGAGGGCCCGAGGAATTTGGAGAAGAATGGAAGTTTGTGGCTCACCCAGCTATGCTCCAATGAAACAGATGGAGAATGCTGGCATGGACCCTTGGAAACTTTCTCGAGTTTGCACTATGAATAATAACAGAAGAGTCATGTCGGACTTGACAAGGACTCATGTCACATGTCCTTGTCGATTCCAGTTACTCTTTTACTTGATAAAGTATGGAGGATGGTTCAATAGAATAATAGACCATTGAACAAACTCAATAAACACCTTTTTTATTTGTTATATCATATTTTTAATACTTTGGTTTCTAAAATTTTAAAATTATTAATTCAATTTTAAAATTATTATATTCAATGTGTAGGACTTCCTTTTTAAATGGCTATTATCAGGATCTGGAATTATGAATATCTCCTTGAAGGCACTTTTGTAAATACTCGAGTGCTTCTTTTCTTTTAGGTGCTTTATTGATTTCAATGTGAGCTGTGCTTATGAGCCCTTCCCATGTTAAAAACATGAAGTTTGCTGGTTATTCTTTTAATTAAAATGAAAGGCTTGAACTTTCTTTCAATCATGTTTTCATTTTCCTACCGCCAAGCTGACTTGACCAGTATTTGTTCTTTCCAGTTGTGATTTTTCATTTGATTGTTAGCCCCTAATAGGATCCTTACAAGGTGGAACTTAAAAAGGAAAGTTTGCTCATGCTTGGTGCTAATGATATTTATACACATTAAGATTTGTAGATCAATCTAATGTAGTTTTTGTTATTAATGGATATCCTTAATCTATAAAATCTTTTAAATTGCATTTACATAATTCATTAGCAGTAGAAAATAGTTAATATGTACTTCCTAGCTGTTAAATTGGCTAGAATTGTCTAAAATTGGCCAACTCTGTGGAGTTGAATTGATTCTGGATGATTCCTACCTATTTCTGGCTATAAGGTCAAGAACCTAGCCAAAATCCAAATCAATTTAGCTGAATTGACCAATACTATGAACCGAGTCTCACCTTTATTTTTAAGAAGTACCCAATTCGGTTGCAAGAAAATATGCTTTCACCTTGTTGATGCTTTTTAAGTATGATTCTGATTGAAAGTGATGACTCTTCAGTTAGGTGATTTTCTTTAATTCTCGGTTGACTGAGTCTGAAATGGATTGTGTGGCTTCTGCAAACAGGAAAAAAATGTGTGATTTCTGTGAAATTTATTTGAAATTTGTGATGAGGAAATTCTTTTATGATTAAAGCTGTCATAGATGCATATATCATTTGACATAGTCAAGCATTGATAAAACAAACTTATTCTCTTCCTTTTTCCCTTCCACTAGAAGGTTTCTTTTGGAGATCATCGGCAATCAGGTTCAAGAAACCATGAAGGGAACTGTAACTATGACAAGGATGATCCTGTGGATAGAAGTTGGGTCAGCTCAAAACCAAGAGCTTTTGGTCATGGCCATGGGCGCAACCGGGCTGAGAGACCAAGATTGCGGCCTGACCAGCTGGCTGCATCAAAAAACCAAGAGAAAAAATGGGAATCATGGAGGAGTGAGCCTGTTGCCTCAAACCGACGCCGAGGCAGGTCTTTTGCATCTACCAATTCATCCTATATTTCAGAAAGTGCACCTGGCATGCATCCACAAACTGCATCTAGTTCCGAGGGTGTCAATGCATCTGACCCAACAATTCCTCTGGGGCATTCATATGATCAAGGAGTTGGTTATGGTTCACATGCTGAGCCACTCAAGTTTGGCTCATTTAGGCCTGTGCATCAATCAAGTGGCAATGGAGGAGCACCTAAGACAAATGGTGGGATTGTAAGTGGACTATATGATAAAAGACATGGTTCCAACTACAAAGGAGGAACTCAGTCTTCGCAAGATTGATCCTCTTCACTGCAAGTATACAAGTAATCCACATTCCAATTTTGATTTGCAAGTTTATTTTGTTGCACATATTCTTGTTGTAGTTAATTTTGAGCTAAAAAAAGTAAACTACGCTTTAGAAGCAAATAAAGATGCCATCGACGACATGAATGTGAGCTTGGCAGGTAGTGTCTGATGATACCTCCTGTTGTTTTTCTGATGCTGATAATTTCAGGTAACCTCAAATTCTTAAGTGTCATTCTTTAAGTTCCTGGGGAATATAATGTTTTATCCGTCCTTGAGCATTATTGAAAGAGAAGGTTTAACTACAATGAAACTTTGATTCATATTTAGAGAAGGTTTAATCTTTTCAAGTCTCGGTAATAATGTCTTTATATCTTAATATCTATATTTAGATTGCAGACATTGATTCTTCCCCAAACCCTTCAATCTTTTTTAATTTTTCAGGCATGTACATGAATGGAAATATCCAAAAACTTGAATTTGTGCAATGGTTGGTTCGCTGTTAAAGCAAAAGGTTTACAATAGAAATCGTAAGCTTATAATCACCTATTTAAGATGAAATTTTGTCATACTTAAATAGCAAAGCTCAGAGAATTTGAGAATGAAAATTGATTATATAAATCAATGATCAAATAAAAAACTAATTTCACAAAAAGGGAATGAGATTTTACTTTAGATCTCTCTCTTTTATTGAGCATTTATACTTAGTTAACAAGTTCAAGAAACGATCAAAATGACTAAATATCTAATTGAATCTAAATAACACTCAACAAAAATAAATGCCTCGTGCAAAAAAAAAAATTAGACGGAGAGGAAAAATTTTCAGTTTTCCTCAATTTGTAGCGTTTACTCTTTCTTTTTTTTCTTGCTGTATTTTTGG